GTTTCTGAGAGCGGTCCTTTGGCGTTCTTGGTAGAGAGAGAAGGTCACAGGGCAGAATGCATTAAACCACCACATTTAGCAGCTGCAAGAGAGTGTCTGGTCTTGTTTTCACTTTGTGAGTTTGTCTGTGAGTGTTATCAGGGCAGAGTTTTGGCCTGAATACTATAACCAGAGGTACTGCAAAAGCATTTGAGTGTACTTCGACTGGTATTTATATGTATATCAGTCAAAGGGCAGATTTTGTCCACATGCCTCAAAGCGTGCAGGCTACAGTTACAAGTTTCCTGGTGAGTAGATGACACTATAATGAAGCCAGAACGTAAAGATGGGTATGAACTCACTGGCGTATCTGCTCGTGTGATGCATCTTAAGGCAATCCATCCAATCTCTTGTTCTTTTCCAATTCAGGGTTGCGGGGGTTATCCCAGGTGTCATAGGGCAAAAGGTTGGGTACACCCTTGACAGGTTGTTAACCATTCACACCCACATTTACACCTAGGGCCAATTTATAATCACAATTTAACTTAATCCCACTAATGGCATGTCTTTGGACTGTGGGAAGAAGCAAGAGTACCTGGAGAGAACGCACGCAGACATGGGGAGAACATGCAAACTCCACACAGGCCCACAGCTGTCACCTTATATGTTAGTATACATTTTGAATTTGAATTGTTCAGCCTGCTGAAATTCCCCTGGTTCCCTTATTACACTGTTAGAGCATTCCTGCTGCCTCAAAGCAAATTAAATGCAAATTACATGAGCGGGCTGTTCATCCTTTTAGGGTCAGTGTTTGTGTTTGTGCCATGCTCGCAGGCAGTGCTGGGGCCAATGCACTACAGTACTAGTTGTAGTGAGTAACTCGTGCCAGTGATGACAGATGAGGGCTAAGAGGGTATAGCCCTACAAACCCCACCCTGAGCTCTGGATGACCTGCCAACCTAGCAACCTTACTGTCCCATGTACAGTTCTAGGGCTCAGCCTCTTTGAAAGCTGTGGGTTGTAGTTTAAATTCCCGTACATGTTTGTAAGACCTGTGAGAGGCAAACAGTTTGTGTTTCACAAGCTGCTTAAAGGGAGATTTATTATGAATCTTTCCAGTGTCGTAAACCTGGTTAAAACATCAACATGATTAAAGAACAGTTTGAGACTTTAGGACAGGAGCATCGCCCTGTCCAACCCTAGAATTTTTTTCTTCACTCCTCTCTTGGATCTCAGTTTTTTCTGTAAATACTTGAAAATATATTTAGCGGTTGCATCATTTTTGAGTAGCAAACCTAAAAAGAAACTCTCGACTCCAACAGTTTTTGGGATCAGACTTTTAATTGGACTTAAATTCACATAAATAACATTGGTTCATATATATTTTGTATAATATACAACTTTATATAATATATATTTCCCCCTATGATTTACATTCCTCTCTGACTAAAAGTATATCTGTTATATCTATGGAAACAGGAAGCATTGCAGGAAGGCAAAACTGCTCTTTTTGTGCTGTTTCAGTTTTTTTCGCTCTCTTTTTTTTAAATTAAGGTCCAAATGTCAAAAGGAGAGGAGTGCCTTTCTTTTGAGTTGTAAAAAAAAAAGAAAAAAAAAACATTTTCCAAGTTACACAAACAGAAAAGCAGAAAGGAGAATCTATTGCATTGTCTCTAGGGTATTACACTGCACTACAAGGAGTGGGTAGCTATTGAAAATCATTCACCGTATATATTTTACTGTATTGACTTGTGACACAAAAAAAGAGCACTGCAGATGATCTGATATGCATGGCAACGAACATTTTCTGTATGCTTTCGAAGTTTTTTCCCCCCCCATTGTAAAAAATAAAAACAAAAATCGAGAATATGTTTGACTCGACAGGAAACCCTATCTCGAAGATAAGGACAGAGTTACAGCATGAACCTGCGGCAAGGTCACATATTCATGCAGTGACCAAGCCAAGCACACTTGCACAGATGACTTGAGCTTGTCGGTCCAGATCACAAATCAACACCGTTCGGCTGCTGCGACCGACATTATTCAGCGAGATGAATGGATATCTGGAAGTCAGGTAACGTTCGGTAAGCTCCCTGCTTTGTTCGTGTGCTGTGTTATCTTTGACATGTGGAACATCTCTATCAATCAACACCTCGAGTAAATATTCAGAACTGATGCACCGTTCAGTTTCCCTCGGTGAATAACGCAGATCCGATTTTCACTGCCGTTCCCAAACTGACTCATCAAGGAACTTTAAGGTCACTAGCAAATGATTTAAAACAGTGTGTTTGCAGGGTATGCCTGCTTTTTCAAGTCAAGGAGATCATAGCCTGTCAGAGTAGAAATGTTACAAGACAGTCAACAGTTATATACCCCGTGATGAGTAAAAGGAGTGAAATTGGCAATGAGGCGTAAGGTTTCTCGTGTCAAATCGGGTAAAAGTCTGCATCTTTTTTTTAAGCACAACCTCCAGTGTCACTTTGTCACAGCTTCTCTCGACTTTCTGGCTACGCGGCCTCTTAAAACGGCAAAAACTATGATACATATTTGATTGTCTGAATCAGCCCTGCTTCCTTGAATATCAAACCAGAGAGAAACTGTCGCCCACGCTAGGCCTTTAAATCCGAACCTGAAAGCAAAACTATTTTTTCCAGCTTCAGCTGCTATTTGAATAGTGATCAAGAACAAAAAGAGTTTCGAGGTCAGGTCTGCTTGTAAAATGTTCAGGTGAGCCTCTACCCAAAGGGAAAAAAAACTAATTGGTGAGCTTGAAAGAGTTACTTAAATTACCCGGTGAACTGTGAGATCCTATAATGTATCATGCATTTATCACGACAAGACCAACCTAAACTGAACGTGGAGTGTGTTGGTGTGTGTGTGCGTGGCAACAAATTACAGAGGAAAACACAATCATGCCATGACATTGCGACAGACAGCAGGTTTAAGTGTTAACCACCTCCTTCCCTGAAAAGTCAACAACAAACAGCTATTAGTTATTCATTATAATCACGATAAAAATCCCACAAACACCATCATAATCATATCCCTTTTCTAAACATAGTTTCACTGTATGCTATTGAAAAAATGCAATGGGGAGGACAAGTCGCTGGTTGTGTTTAAAGCACAGTAAACAAAACTTAAAAGCTGTGACTTCTTTCTTTATTGCAAAGTTCTCCGAGTGACCAAAAGAGGTTTTACTGCCGTATGTTTTACACGCTAACCACCATAAATTACTTTGAAAATATGAGCAGAAAAATAGGATGAGTTAACACAACCAGCAGCAGTGCTTATTGTCTCTTACCCTCCCCATTACAACCCTGCCACACATTTCCATCTTTTTCAATACTCACAGAGGGGAGTTAGTGTTAATTAAAAAGTGCATCATGAATATGTTGCGATTAATAATAAAAGTAAACTTTTTTTTTTTCCATAAATAACACTTTTTTTTTCCTCTAGTTATCAATAAACCTCTTATTATACAAGTCGAGTAGTCACACGATTCAAATCTGCCCCCTGGGATCTTGTTAATAAAGAATCCGGGAGCGACGCTAACGCTTCCTGAAATAAGGAAGCCGTGACCTGTCAATACAAAACAAGACTGACGGGTCAAATTCAGGAGGAAGATCGAGGAAAGGACTATAGCAGTGACCACACATAGCTATTAAGGACACAACACATGAACAGCGGCAAGGGAATACTTGCAGTACAGCCTGCTGTAGTAGACAAACTGAAAAAAATGGGACATTTTAAGAATCAAGAGTCTCTGTGTGGGAAAAAGAAAACCACTGTCGTGTCTGGACTGATGCGGGAGGTGTTAGTGTTTTTGTTTCGTCGGTATGATCACACTGTACTGTGTTTAAGCATACATCATTATACTCAAAATATGCAGTTAAGCTCTGTGTTACTTTTACAACCAAGAAAAAATACTACTGAACTCGCTGTCTTAATTTGTCGTTTTTTTCCTAGTCTCAAATCTTCTTACAGTGAATTTGCAGTTACTGGTGTGCATTATTTTTCCATTGTGTGCAGTAAATACAAAACTCTACCAAGCTAGAGATTGTAATGTTTATAATTGGATGTCTGCATACATATTTGGAGAAACTGTCAGATACTTTGATATATTTGCTAAAATATGATCAGCAAAGATCTGTTCAGAATTTTGCTTTTTATTTGTTTTTATTAATCCATCCATCCATTCGCTTCCGCTTCTCCTTTT